TCTCGGATAGACAGCAGACATCGATATTAAGAATTTCCAAAGACATAGCCAGCCCTATCTGTTGTCCGACCAGCATAAGTGTGCGAACGTTGAAGGCAGCCAGTTTGAATGGTGCACGTGGTTTCAGAAAAACTGCTTCAGTATTCGTATTTGGTAGTAGCATAAAAATTTCAACCGGACAGTGACTCGAGAACGTTTCGATAGAGTTGAATTTCCACCAAAGACGAGCTGCTGTATAAATCGAAAAATAAGGGTACATAAAGTGGGATTAAAAGACGTAAAAAAAATAATAATAGTGATAGTAATAATAATGCGAATCGTTTGACTGTTGATCGAAGCAAGACAAGTATTTTCCATAATTATCGACATTTCATCATATTTTTGTGTGGGCTGTGATACTGCCCGGGTGTCCAGACCGAAGCAGATGGTTTTCCTAGGGGGCCACACCCCGAGCCTAAAGGTCTGACCCACAAGGCAGAGGAGCATCGTGAGGAGATGCAGTCCCATGGTAGCCGGTGACCAACGATTGGTTCATACGCCATTTGTTCCCTCAGGATGCTGGAGCCCATGTGCACCATTGGTTTGGGATCCCGTTAAAGCGACAGACATACGACCTCTCATTTTCGTGAACAACACCCCCACCACGAGAAGGCAGTGAGTAGGACTTCCCTGGCAGAGACTGTATACGCGTGGCCGTGTGACAGCATTTCGAGAGGGAGGGCGGGCCCACCACACTCTCAACCATACCAGGGCATTTGGGGTTTTTTATGATGGTTGTAGTGATTCTCCAAGTTTCAGCTCTGTACAGTAGAACGGTCTTGACGTTCGTATTGAAGATTGTAACTTTGATGTTGGCTGATAGTTGTTATGAGTTCTATATATTCTTCAATTGTAGAAATGCTACCCTTGTTTTGCCAATCCTTGCATTCACATATGCATCAGATCCTCCATGTTCGTCGACTATGCTGCCCAGATATGTGAATTTTTCACGTGTTCCAGAGTCTCCATCCAGTGTGATTAAGTTGGTGTCCTCCGTGTTGCATTTGAGGATGTTGCCTTTTCCTTTGTGTATATTGAGACCTACTGATGCAGGGACTGCTGCTACACTAGTTGTCTTCATCTGCATTTGTTCGTGTGTATGGGATAGGAGGGCTAGGTCATCTGAGAAATCCAAATCATCTAATTGATCCCGAGCTGTCCATTGTATTCCGCTTGCCCTTCAGCCTCGTGACTTTCGTAAAATCCCGTCTTTCATCGTGAGGCGCCATAATTACTCCTTCGACTAGGAGTACAGTGTTAAAATTGTTTAATCTGTGTATTTTGGTTGACTTTTTAGCAAGGTTGAATTCTGCGGGATGAGGTTGCCGACCTCATGCCTGACCCTCCTCCTTTACCCGGTCTTGAGACTGACAGTAACCCTAGAAGAGCTACAGGCGGAGTTAGATATGGTATACTTGATAAGAATTCTCCACAAATTCAAGTCTAGTCCCAGGTGCCTCAGGAATCTTGACTACTAATCATGTGTTCTGCCATAAGTTTGGTGCAGCATTTGCGAAACGTATCAAGGTTTATTTTGTTCCAATTTTACTCTAGATTGTTTCATATGTCCCATAAATGATTGTGTTGTTTTAGCCTAAAATTATATGGTGACAACATAAAATACAAAAGAAGCATGAAGATCTATAGTTGAGATACTATAACAGCAAATCTTTTATTTTTGTGACTATAGCTTATGAACATAAGCTAATAAATATTTGACTATCTCTCAATATACTAGACGATTAATATGTGGTACGATACTTCGTCTGCACCACAAGTAGCTTTATCTGTCAAAAATCCAGACCTTCACTCTATGTACCAAGATTTCATCGTTTTCCAATCTAAAAGATCATATAAGATAACTTACATGCAAGCAATCAGATTCTGGAAGTCAGAGAAAATCCTCGATTCATAGAGGCACCATAATGAAGCTTATTACGAGTTGTTTAGCAACCGTTTTGCGTACGAAGTATTCAGTAATAGTACGTACTTGACAAATTTATTGCAGAGACAAACTGTTGTGAAGTCTGTAAATAGATGGTTATAACTGTTCTTTTCGAAATAAAGAATATACCCATCCAAACCTCTGCATTCAAAAACGATGTCGTACATGTAAATAATCTAAATACTATTCTAATCGTGAATACAAAATAATGTGGTGAGTCTAAGAGAATCCTAGTACAAACAGACTTGAAAATTTGTCCAAATACTGATATATTTCCAGGTTTATAAAAATCCTAATTTTAATCCGTATTCCTCATACTTCCCCTCTCGTCCGATGATTTCTTTTCACCAATAACAAACTTTTGAGAGTCAGGATTATGGCTACTAATCAAATGATTTACCACCTTTCGCTAACGATATTTTTTGTTTATTTAGTGAATTTCCTATCACGCTTTCAGAGAACATCTGGACTGGTTACTTATCAGAACCATTTAGTGTTCAGTAATTGATTTCTGTTCCCCAAAAGATTGAGTTCAGCTCATCATAACAACTCATTCCTTTCATCTAAAATACTGTTCCTACCAGTACGAATCAAATGAGAAGTTATTCTAATCTGATTTACTATGCCACCGATCACCTCCTCAAGAAACTAGACAATATTGTTTCAAACCAGTTGCTTGGAGAAAGAACCCACCTGAAACAAGCGCAAAATCCCATCTAAGTACGTTACACAGCAAAAAGAAAAACGGGCAAAACTACGGTGATATTATTAATAAAGATCTAAAATACGAAGACGGAAAATGAGAACGAAAAACGGAAAAAACTGTTCACAACCACATATATATGGAGGTATATTTGACAACCCTGAAGCCCTTTATTTCTGTTGTTCAGCAAATATGTACACATTCAAACTGTTTCTCAGTGTTACCTTAGTCCAACTACTTCAATGAATCTTTCACATGACCTCTCGAACCAGCTTATTATATTGATCATGAGCAATACACTTAACTGATTTACTTCGAAAGTCTTTTTGTATTACGAGTTGCCATTTGTACTGTGGTCACTATTTGAGCAAGGTTATCCCACCAATCCTTTTCTCAACGAAGTAACTATATATAATGTGGAAAGAAGTCCTGAATCTATGACGACGTGTATTCTGGGAATAAACTAAGGAGACCAGCCACTGATTATTAGAATAAGCCATGTACGTCGGTGCAAACTACATAGCTGGGGTTTGAACAATTGTTGTAACCAGTTGTTGAAGACGTTGAATGATAAGGCTAGAAGTCGATCTCAATGGAACAGGTGAATCTACCCTTTACTGACCCTCAGATTGTGTTTTGAATTTCCACATACCCTCTATTCTATAGATCCATTTTTTCCTCTCAGATCATATAGTGTATCCATAATTTTTGCTATGTTTATTTATAGTGTTACTATTTCTGCTACTTTGGCAAGTTTTGATATTTTCATATATCTATGAACTTGGGGCCATGTATACATGTTGGATATGATTTACTGAGTCTTGTGCACATATCCAGTAGAACTGAAATTCATTCTGCCCCTTATAAATTCCTTTTGTCATCCACGAAAACGTGTTTCTGTTATCAACCTTTCCAAATGGCTTCGCTTTTTATGTTTGTGATCAGGGGATTTGAGCTTTCGGTACGGCAACTGAACAAGACTATGTACTAAGGTTTAAATTTTCGGACCTACATCAAGGCATATAACGGTCCCACTAATTTAAACACGAGTCTTTTGTAACTAACGGAGGTAATGGTAGAGTTTGAAAGCAGAAAAGAGGATTCATAAACCGTATCTCAACAGCTTAATTCCTCGATCACCGAACGGTGTTGGAATAGTGAGCGGAGCGTCTCTTTATGGACACACTTTGGATGAAATAAAATAAAATATTAAATCCCTTTAAAAGTGATAGGGTTAAACGGTACTTACTAAGGTCGTCTATTTAATCTATTTTGACATAACTTTATTACAGACGTATGCATAGAGAGGGAAAAATAACGTCCCATTTTTTATAAGCCAGATTTTTACATGACATGGTTATGGCAATTTCACCACGTAAAAGTAGTGACAGCAACCTTCTTCTGCACAGTGTTAGAACGATGATGATGTGGAAATCGTATTTCAAACCCAAAATATTGTTTAAAAAGTAGTCTTTTTCGTAACCTAGTTTAGTGATAGTTGAGCCCATCGATCGTTTATATTATAAGCTTTGTTACTTCGGACAGGTCTGTGTCCCCTTTTACAGATTGCGCACCTCTATTATAATAAACAAATATAGCGAACTACTACGGAGTAGTTCTATCCTTCAGATTCCGTACAACCGTAAAAAAGAATTTATCAAAAAGATATATTGGTTAACCAACATTTAGTGAGAACGATCTTATTTCTGGTCATTTGTAATATGAGATAAATTTATCGCATACAGGATGCTGACATAAAAACTTCGTTTGAACATAATTCATTTGGATATTAAGTTAGAATTAGTTGTCCTCTTTCTAAAACATGTATTTTACCGAACAATTCTTAATAATAGAGTAGGTCAGTCATATTCAACATACACCCGCCACAAATGGACAGGTCGAATTGTCACATTTTATTAGGACGGAGATAAAATTACCGAGATGAATACCAAATAAGTGGAAGCAGTTGTTGTAGAAGGAATAGTAACAAATATTGTATACAGAGAATATCAATAGAAAGGTAAGAATCGACGAGCGAATAATAAAGCGAAGATTTTGCGCCAAAAGATAGTATAGAATGAAAACATCCTAATAAATAACCAAATAAATCGAGAGAGAAATAAAGTGGAAACCTTAAACATTAAGGTGAACCAAAAGAGTCAAATGAATATGTAAAGAACGCATTACAAAACTGTAAAATTACTGATAAACAGAACTTCTGTTTTATGGTATTGTAACCTGTTTGAACTAAAGAGATGTAGGTAACAACTTTTGTTTCGACGTCAGGAATATATGAAGCAGAAAAAAGGATAACTATGTCATGTTTTTAAAATCTAGCATTATTTGGTGTTTATCCATAATTTGGAGTGCTGCACTGCGATTAGATTCGTAGTTATCAAAATCGTCTTCAGAAATCCAAGACATATCAGAAAGAAGTTTATAAGCTCCAATATATCTGTGTGGACAGCCATCCCACTCCTAGAAATCAATTGGTTAAAAAAAATATACAGGCTTACTTACCGTGGGTGAAAGCAGACTAAAATACTGGCTAGCATCTGGCTTCTCATACACGTAATAAACATTTCCGGGTTTTTTTATGAAATTACAGGGAAGTTTATGTAACAAAGTATCTCTATGGGCGTTTTGTATGATAGCCTTTGCCTGAGACTAAAGAAACGCAAAATCAGATATCTGCTGGGTTATAACTTACTTTTAAATGTTGCATCTGTTCAACAATTAATCGAAGTTGAGAACATGCGTTTGCACTAACAAAACTATTGGCACTTTCAACGTAGTGTGCCAATTCAACTAAATTATTAGGGTCTATTAATTTTCTGGCGTCATCTCTGATGTATAAAGATGACGGCGAATTATCAGTGTGATTCATTTCGAATAGTTCATTAAATATGATCAAATGATTATAAGTGTACTGAAACAACCACGTTCCATTTATCTAGACAGCTGTATTTTCAAAAACCATTTGAGATATTTGAACACTTTCAAGCAGTCTAGGATGAAAAAAAAACAGTAGAAAAAAGACAGTCAAATCAAAAAATTACTGCTCTATTTTTAAACGGTGGCGAGATCATAGTACAGGTTTACAAGATATTTTTATTATTTCATATTGCACAGGTACAGAATTTTATCATTGAGACAGAATGGCGAAACGTTACGGAAAATTGACCAGTGAAACTTTGAAATACAGTGCGAAAGTAGAGTGATAAATGGTTTCAGGAGTAAGGAAAAACATATGAGTTTAAATTTAGTGGTAGCCATACGAAAATGGACTGCCAAAAACGTCATCCTCTTAAGGATGTTACGGATATTCAGTGTTCGACAACACGGCTGTCTGTAAGTTGAGGATCTCAAACTCAGCCCAACCAGAGGTCATGGATGAAGGAGTTCGAAGACATATTTGGAAGATAGTCTATATGTCAAGACGTCTGTAAGCTGAGCTGACTAGTTGTTGCGAGGTATGCGTAGAAAAACATGTCGAATATTAGTCTGACATGCATCGCTGACCAAGAGTTCTCAGTTATGGTGTTCAGCAAAGCTAGTAAAGACATACAAGAATATTTATTTGCCGCTACACTGGTCACAAATAAATGCGAAATGCTAACGGTGATTAGCAGTGATACTATGTAGTGTCTAGTATTACGTCAAGCCTAAATTGATTGATCTAGGCTTTGGAAGGATCGATCAGTTTATTTTTGAGTCGCTTTTTGACTTTGTCAATAATCCCCTTATAAGCTAAATAAGCTTGACATAGACAAATCCACGGGATCTGATGAAATGTATCCTAGGTTACTACAGGAACCGGCAATTTTAGTCGGCGAGACTCTAATTTATAGACGACCTCTGAACGAATCTTAAGTGACCCCGAGAAATACTAGCCAATCAGCAAACAGTCAGTAATGAGTAAAAATATGTCATACAAAACCAAGCAAATAAAGTGGATACAATTCTTATACGTGGTTCAAAAACTTGTCGAGGTTAGAAAGAGGTTCAGAGGTTATAAAATCGTAATGCATGCAGTAGAGGTAATCATCCATACGGCTACAGAATAGTCGACCTCTGGAGTCATGATAAAGTCTCAAAAACTCTTTCAGCCTCGACCACATAGCTCCAATATTGTTTATGTGCACTCCGGTTGTTGAGTGCACAAAATGCTACTTGTGGATAACGACACGATGCACATGACCAAGCCTACGTAGGAGTCTACGCTCTCCAAACATCCGTATATATTGTAGTACCTGGTTGCAGCCAGTGTTACTGGTGTTTTTGTTATCCAGTTCGCAATAATTGTCGTAATTTGCCTTAGTTATGAATTATATATGGGGTCTTCATCACGAACTGACATCAGCTATAATGCCAGAAATTTATTTAGCCAAATGGAAGAAAGGCTTTCGCGTTAAAATCCGAGATTTATTATCTTATACCTGATTGATTCGTCCACAACTTATAGTCTCGCTGTTTTATTTGTTATAGCCGCTCAATTATCACATTTTGTACAAAATTCCCTGTAAACCGATCATATGTTAGCATCAAGCACTGAAGTTGGTGCCGTAAACTTGAAATTTTTGAACCGCTTCTGATTGGCTTGTCCATGAATTAGTCCCACCAATTTGAGCATATGTTTTAATCTATCTTTACCCCGGGGTCGATTACCAAAATACTGGAAGAACGCCATAGTACGTACTACCCTCGAAACAGGTACGAAACATAAACCTGAGAACTACCAACCTGTTAGTCTAACAAGCGAGGTTGAAATTTTAGGGTATATTATTCGGAAGGAGTTGTTTAAGGGCGAGACTCTAATTTAAGGACGACCTTTGAACGAATTTTAAGTGACCTTGACAATTATTAGCCAATCAGAAGACAGTTAGTATAAAGTGAGAATATATTGTAAGTAATGAATTACAGTGGATATTCTTCTTTTACATGATTTAAAAACTTGTTAAGGTTTGATAAAGGTTCAGAGGCTCTGAATTCATAATGCATATTGTATAGAAACTCGTCCATAGGGTTAGTGGTTAGGGTTGTAGCCTGTAAGTAGACACATCTCTAAAATCCGATGTAAACCGATCGCATGTTAGCACCCTAATCCTAACCTAACCTTAACCTAACCCTAATCTAACCCTAACCTTAACCTAACCCTAAGCCCTAATCTAACCCTAACCTTAACCTAACCCTAAATCCTAATCTAACCCTAACCTTAACCTAACCCTTAACCCTAATTTTAACCCCAAACCCTAACCCTATGGACGAGTTTCTATACAATATGCATTATGAATTCAGAACTTCTGAGTCTTTGTCAAACCTCAACAGGTTTTTAAATCATGTAAAAGAAGAATATCCACTGTAATTCATTACTTTCTTGTAATTAAACCGCGCTATTTAAAAAGGACAGTGGTATTCTTTCTCGTTGAGTTAATTAACTGTTTTGATCGTAAATTACGCATCAAAACTACTGTTTACACTTTAATTGCATCTACCCCAGTTAAAGTGATATTTTATTGAGTTTTTCGATTTTGCTTCTGTGTATTTATTGCATCGAAGCATACTTGGTCGACTTTTACTTGGTTTATTTAGTTAAGGTTTGAAAATCCTTTTACATATCCTGTTTTTGTCACCGTTCTAGTTGATTTTCAAGATGGCTAGGTCTACTCATAAATGTGGACAACCATACTGCTTATTTCCCGTGGATGAAGGGATGCAATGTGATGAGTGTAATAAGTGGTTCCATAAGATGTGCACCCGATTAAGCCCCACTGCATATAAAAGGTGTTCAAAGCCCAACTCTCATTGGCTTTGTAGTTTTTGTTGCTCGAGCAAAACATTGCTTATCCAGGAAGCAATTAGTCTCCTGGTGTTGGCTAATAAGAAGGTTGATGAGGGCTGTACTGATAACATTGGTACGGATGGCGAAGATTGCGTTAGTGTCGTAAGTGCTATCACGGCGCAAGCCAGACATCTACCTGTGCAACCCACAGTTAAACGTTCTCCCCCGAAACGATCAGTGAGTGACACGTCATTAGACGTTGGTGGCCATATTGCTACAGCAGCAACCGGTGACCCAGATAAAACAATTACTGTCCCGAGTTGTTCTAATGTAGACGTTTCGACTGATGGAAAATGGATGACGCGAAAACGCAGAAGAGTAGGAAAGATAGCTAAAACTAATGACTGTTTACTTGGTAAGTCCTTGGTGGACTCTCAGACCAATCCGCCAAAGTCTCATAGTAAAGCTTCGTCTGACATTGTTGTGAGTCATTCGCTTGACTCCCAGGACTCTGTTAAAATAAAAACTAATCGTAAGCTACCAGTAGTTAAAATACAGGATCTAACGTCACGGTCGAAAGCTGTGAACACAGTTTCAAAAGAAGCTAAACCCATCCCTAGTTTAATTATTTGGAATCTAGAGGAGTCGAAAGACAACGACCCTGCTAAAAGACACGCACATGACCTACAGTTAGTGGAGTCTGTGGTCAGGAATGTACTACCTGAAGAGGTTTCAGGGGTACATATTACAAAAGTAATACGACTTGGTAAATGGGTTGGAGGCGAGACCCAACCAAGAAGGATCCTGAAGCTGGTTCTCGGGAGTTTCGAAGAAAGAGACATATTATTGAAAAGCGCACAAAAAACTCGTGCCTCAAATATCCGTATTCGACCAGATTGGCCGCTTGAGGATCGAATCAAGTGGAAGAATGCTCTTACGGAGTTGAGGACTCGCAAATTAAATGGCGAAAATAACCTTACCATTAAGGGTTTTCGGGTAGTCAGGTCTTGGAAGCCAATGCTTCCGAGGCCTGTATGGGTAGAACGATTGATTTCCAAAACACCTTAAGTGTGTGCTACACGAACGCTCGTAGTCTTAGAAATAAAACGTCCGAGCTAAGTCTGATGGTGCAAGAATTATGTCCCGATATAATCGTTGTTACAGAAACTTGGTTCACCGTTGATATAGACTGTTCTCCTTTCATTGCTGGTTATATCTGTATCAGAAGTGATAGAGTTTCAAGTCGCAAGGGGGAGGTATAATATTTTACGTTAGGGATCACTTTCGTATACAATCAACCATATCGGAGGCTCATATCAGTGGCACATGTGAGGTTGCATGTTGTAAGATTAAATCTAGAAATGGGTTAGTGACTATAGGGGGAATATACCGTAGTCCGTCTTGTCTGGCTGACGACTTTATCCTAAGACACATCTGTTCTTGGAGTATGGCAGAATGTTGTCTCATCATTGGGGACTTCAACGCACCGCATATCAACTGGATAGAGCTTACAGCTCCAGGTAGCGGTTTCGATAGCGACCTTTTATCTACCGTTATTCAGTGTGCACTTGTACAATGTATCACAAAACCGACACATATTGATTTGCATCATGTTCCGTCACTGCTGGACCTCGCCCTCACCCACCACTCTGAGGATGTCTTTGATATCCAGCACCTTCCTCCACTAGTGAACAGTGATCACGTTGTAATTCACTTTAAGTTTAGGACACATGGTATACAATTCGTATCTGCTCCACCCCGTCCCAATATCTGGCGAGCTAATATTCCGGAAATCAGAAACCGTGCTATCTCGACCGATTGGTCGGTCGACGCGGATGGATTGATCGAAGATGAATGGAATAAGTTTAAGGCTACATTCGAGTCCGTAACGTCGCCGTTTATCCCATGGTCAGCACGTAAGCTATCACATTGCCCTCCATGGATTAATAAGGAAACCCGGAAGCTGTTAAAGCGTAGGAAACATTTCTGGGACTTATTCTTGTTGACAGGTCATGCACCATTTAAGCGTGAGTATCAAAAATACCGTAATATCTGTAAGAAAACCATAGCGAAATCCCGTACCACTTACGAACGACAGTTAGTAT